CTCATTCATTATCGTTATTATATTTATTTGAACTTATATATGTATCGTTAATTGTTATTTCTTTCAACTTTTTTACACAGTTGCTGTGTTTTTCCTATCTTTGTATTTATTTGTTTTTTAAAACTAACCTAAAGATTGTTTTATTTTTACTTCTAGTTTTTGCTTACCTAAATTTACATTTATCAAGCTTGCATTTTTTACTCACGTTCATTTTTTATCAATTGGGAGTTTAGGTGTTAGTTCTGTCAAAAAGCCAGTTTAAATGATTTCATTCTATGTTAGATAATGACTTCATAATCTCCGAGTATGTTAGGCTTGAATATATATATATATATATAAGCAAATATATGGATATAGATCCGACAGTATGAAGAAAAATATATACGGAAAAAACAAACAAAAATCCTTATATACAATTATATACTTATATATAATTATATATATTAACATTAAAACAGCATAATTGTATATAAGGATTTTTGTTTGTTTTTTCCGTATATATTTTTCTTCATATATATATATATATATATAATCTGTCTATATTTCTGAGATGAGGTATTATGTACATTATTTACATTATTCGGACTATTGTCCTCATCTTTGTTGTCATATTTATTACAACCTTTCGTCCGTTGTACGCTTCGGCCTTCAGGTGGTTGGAATGCCGAACTTAACCCTTTATTTTGCTCACCGGGGTAGACTGTTCTAGTACCATGTTTAATGGATGTCAGTTATCAGTTATCTCCTGTTAATTTTCCTCTGAAAGTTCTCCACTGCCTTAACCGGGTATTGAACTCACACTCTTTGGGTCCTATCACTAAACAACGCCTTTATCCACTGTGCCATAAAGACATTCTGTGTATGAATTTCTGGTTATTATAAACCTAATCTTCAGCAACCATTTTTACCAGTGCTCATATTGCAATTTTTTGCTGTTAGCATCACATGTTTTTACCAGAGCTCATATTGCAACTTTTGTTTTTATTATCGCTTTTCTCTGGCACTAATTATTACTGGTTTCTATATTGTGTTCATTTCTTAGCTTGGTCGGCTCAGGAGATTTTGTGGCCTAGCGTATGTGCTGATTCCGAATTTTCCAATGGTGTTCCTTGTCTATGATCTCAACCTGATCCCACAGTGGGCGGCGATCTCCATTCTCTCTCCGTATGTGGTCAGCCACGCCTGATTTTTCCACTTCCCTTCGTGTTACAGCTTTCTGGTGTTCTTGAAACGTTATCTTAAAGGGGTGACCTGTCTCGCCTTTATATTTTTTTTTCTTTCTGCTATACATTCTTTTTAAAATAAACAATCTTTTTCATATTTGTGTTTGTTTATTTATGATCGACTGTTTCTTTATTCGTCTTGTTTTTTTACCTAACATTTTATATATTGATAAAACAGTTAATTGTTAATTGTTCATTACGTTCTAAAAAACGTAAAATATATAAATATGGGGTCCAATGTTTGTCATAGACAGGAGTGATAAAATGGAAACATTAAGCATTAATACAGGAAAAAAACCAGGCAATGTTAATGTATATAAAATAGACCAAACCCGGATATAAGAGAAACCCGGATATAAGAGACTTCTTCTCCGGTCCCGACAACTCTCATATATCCGGGTTACACTGTATATATAATAAGCATAATATACATAATAAGTGAAATAAGAAAAAAATAATTGCAAATCGTCAGCCACAGTAGAAATGGCGTTCTGTGAGCAAGATATCCTGACGGATCCCAACACTCAGAAAGTTTGTCCTCCTAGACCGGTTGCCACCCAAGACCATAGAACCCATCCTGTCTTGTTATATACCCATAGAGAATTCATACATTTCCCAAGGGTATCAGTACTAAGAGAATATAATATTTCCGACTGCAATTCGAACTCGGCTCTACTGATTCAACAATCCGAGCCGCTATCCATACAATATTTATTTCTGTGAAATATGCAGAAAATGTGACACAAGGCCAAAAAGAGGGGATAGGGAAAAGTACGGTCTTCATCTGTCTTAATTTTAAACTTACCGAAACACAAGCACTGACCCAAGCATACAAAGAATATGCCTAACACCAAAAGAACATATTCTTACTAAACTCTCTTACTACAACCACCATAATACCTCATTCTCTCAATGAAAAAAACCTAAATAGTCCCCATATGTACAAATCATCCTATATTGATAAAAAACAAATTAAAAAGATCCGAATGAGTACATACAATATGAATTAATCTATCCACTAATCATTACTCCACCGTGACTCCTGCCTCACAATATCTTAAATGTAAATTATGAATTTAAATTCAAAGATACAAACAGAATATGAGTATTTCCTTTCTAGAGTTGTAACAGTAAAATTTAAATTTAAGTTAGAGCGTACATAACGCTTATAAAATAATAAAACATTTTCTCTGACCATTGTAATCATTCTTGTCGAAAGACTCGTCCTGGCTATGACGATAAACTACAACCGGCAGCAAGGCCTCTGATCGGGAGAT